TTATTTGAAATTATTTAAATTATATTATTTCAAATCAATTTAATGCATCCTTGCTCAAAAGTATTTAATAAATATATATTTAGATATATATATATATATATTTAGATATATTTAGATATATTTAGATATATATATATATATATATATATATAAATAAATATGTATATTTAGATATTTAAACCCTTAGTTTAACATCATAACAATGAGGGGATAATATTCAAATAAAATGTCACAGAACCCAAAAACACAGGCAGCCATCAAAGCTCGTCAAGCTTCGCGTATTTTTATGAGTGCAGCTCTGAAGGCCATTCATGGGTACCAGCGAGAAGAATGGGAGATAATTTAATGGGATTTCACGGAAAATGAAGGCTCTGTAGCTGACAGAAGGGTCACGAATGAAGGAGGGCTGTCCGAGCTGAAACACACTGTCAACTAAAGCCCTGAGAGCTCAACACAACCTGCTCTGATATAATGTGATATAAAGCCTGATGGCATTTTTGTTACTGCAGGGCGAAGCCATGAAGAGATTTGCATGTACATCTAGCAATTAAAACACGACCGTGAATGTGAAGAGGGTCCGCCGCAGGACCGCTTATGTCTGTGTTCATCTGTAAATAAAACTGCAGGATTGAGTCAGACCTGCTGCAGGGCTCAGGCCTCACTCCACAGATCACACACAAACCCTGCTGCAGCAAACTCATCTGCTATGACTAAAAAACATACAGTTACTTATAATTATTCTCAAAATATGCTGCACACAATAGGGCTCCAACATCTTAAAAAAGCCATGTTTTATTTGTTCTCAGAAAAAGGCTCAGTAGAAGGTGGTGGTTTGTTCAGCATAACAAACAAAATATTATAGGAGATGCTTACTAATGATGGGATTACTTTCGATTTCTTGAATACTACACTAGTACTGCAATTTTTTCAACTCTGTTACCAAAATTTGGGACAATTTTGAAGTTTAACTTCCATAAAAATAGAAGGAATAATAGAATATTATAATAATTCACAAAATAGAAGGTATTCAAAATAAAAATAAAGTCAGACCGGGTACAGAACTGCAAGTAACAGATTTATCCTAAATTAAGCATTCTGTAGCTACTATTTAGTTTGTGACCAAATATTTTTTTACAAAATTTTCTTTGCCATAAATTATTTTTGTTTACAATAATTTGGGTAACAAGGTTGAGCGATTTAACTTAACAAATACATTCAACACAATTTGTGTAAAAACTGAGAAAGTGAACTGCAGTCATTTTCCCATCATGCTGCGGACAGTCTACGATGATGTCACTTCCTGGGTGTCACAATGGAGTTCAACAATGCCCGCCCGCTTTTTCACTGTCCTTGGATTCGGAATGTCTTGGTGACGTATTGTAACCCTCGTTCCCTGAAGGAGGGAATGGAGACTTCGTGTCAGTGACCGACAAATTGGGAATCTCGCCAGAGAGACCAATCCACTTCGAGTGTAAACTAAACGAGCCAATGCACATTGGCATGCGATTATTGCATCCAGCTGCCGCTGATCACAGCGTGAGTATAAGTAGGCAGCTGGTGCAGCGCATAATCAGCTTTTCGCTGAGGAGCTGAGCCGGTGACCCAGCCGCTCAGCGGTGGTACAGCAGCCAAGGCGACGGGACGTGAAGTCTCCGTTCCCTCCTTCAGGGAACGAGGGTTACAATACGTAACCGAGACGTTCCCTTTCAGTCGGTCACTCTCAACATCAGGTCGGTGACCGACGAATTGGTAATCCCCACCAAAGCGCCATGGATGCAGCCCCTTCCAGTGTCCTGTGCGAGCCGCCCGGGCCCCTTTTTGGTGTAGGCCGGGGCTCGCAACAAGAAGGACAGTCACTGTTGTCATAGCACTACCCACTCAGTAAGACTTATTAACTCTGGGAAAACGTACCCGTTCCACTTGGAACAGGAACGTCGCGGAAGCCCCATCCTTCCCGAAGGAGGTTTCGGAAGCA